GACCCCCGCGAGCGCGCCACCTGCGAGACCTGGAATATTCCTGGCTGGCTCCGGCTCCTCTGCCCAGTGGCGGGCTGGGCCGCTGGACTGCGTTTCCCACCGGGCCCGCGGGTCAACTTCGAAGATCCTGGGTTCCATCGCCCCTCTGGTCGCCGGTATGGGGGTGTCTGCCTGCTGAGGGGCGCTGACCAGGGCGGGCTGGTGGTGCGGAGGCTCTAAGCCCCCAGGGCGCTCTGGGGGGCCCTGCAGCATCACGGGTCGGGGTGCAGTCGGGGTGCATTCAGCGCCTGGGGTTGCTGGGGACCGAGAGAGGAGAGAGTGCGTGACTGCAGTTGCCGTTTGGGCTGGGGAAAGCGGGTGGGGCGGGGCCACAGCTGGCCGAGGTCTGCAGTGAGAGGAGAGGTGAGTCCGAGGAGACCGCTCTGCTGCTGCGATCATCGGTGTGAAGGAGCGGCCTGTGGAGTGTTTGCTGGACACGCACACGTCGGTGTGGGCTCAGGTAGTTAGTGCCGCCTGGTGTCTGAGTGGCGAGCTCCAGGCCTCTGTAACGGGAGCCGCACTTCACATCTGGGCGCTGGCTCCTGGGCCCAGCCTATCGGCAGCCCCGGTGGAGAGAGCATTGCCCACCCAAGGGCCAGCTGTAGGTGCTGTGACTTCTTTGGAGCGTGTTTCCCTTGGATTCTCCCGTATGTATGTATGCCACAGAGCATAGGATATTTGCTTTGCTTCTCTTAAGTTGTCTCCTCTAACCATGACCTGCCATCTACCTGGTGCTTCCCTTCCTAGTTAATAACGGGATCAAGCAGTGGACCTGATCCAGTTCCTTCTCTGCCTTTTTCCAAATGCTTCTTACTCCACTCATTGGGAAAATCACTCCACTTCCCTGTGTGCTCATTTCTTCCCAAAGAATGGCATACAAACACAACTCCTCTGGGTTAACAGGACCGAGCTACCAGGTGTTATAAAATAGCTACCAGATACCTTTGATTTTTATTTACAGGTTTCATTTTCTTTCTTTTTTAATACTTTTTTTCTTTCCAAAGATTTTTTTACACACACAGAACTGGGGTGCAGGCCAGAGGTGTGTAGGGTGGTGAGAGGATTCACCAGAGACAGAGCAGGGAACAGAATAAGCAGACTGAGGAAGTACACTGCTGAGGGGAGCAGCAGGCGCGACAGGAGCTGTCTGCTGTGCCATGTGGGTCAGCTCCCTGGCCGGGAATCGAACTCATGCTGAATGAAGCAGCAGTGGCTAGCTTCATAGTGCTGCGCTTTAACCTACTGCTGTGCTTTAACCTACTGCGCCACCAGGGAGGGCCCCTGATTCACAGTTTTTAGCCAGTTTTCTTGCAAGTTTCTTCATTTGCTGCCTGTTCTTCCTCTGTTATGTGCTCTATGTGTATTTGCGGTGTGGAGGCAGGTATGTTTGAGGGGTACCTTACATGGTGGTGGTCGTTTCCTGTGTATCATTCTTATCAGTTTCTCCGCTGTGCCAGGACTGCCTGGCCGATTCTTCGCAGACCTAACCATGGGCCACGTGAGTTACCAGTTCTGTCTCTTTTATGAACATCTCCTTTCTCTGAATATTCCTTCCAAAAAGCTTGTCCCTCTTCTCCCTAGTTTTTCACTTTGCAGAGGGTCAGAGCCAAACTGTATGCACTCTGCCTGTCTCATTCCAGATCCCGTTCAATATCCATGTGCTCAGTGTTTTGTCAAGAACAACTGTGTAACCGAAGAGGAATAATAATAACTAACTGGGGATGCACCATCCTTTTTACATTGTGGCTAGAGAAAAAGAACAGACTGGTCCACTTGATGACATACAAGCTAACTGTACTGTTCCTGAGTAGACACAGCATCTAGGGAGATCAAATTTGCTGTTACCTGATCTCGGTCGTATATGAATGGCATCTTCTTATGAGCTGTTAGAATCGTAGATGACACTATATTCACTCTAAGTGTCTACGTTATAATTCAGGCTGATATGTTTTCACCCAGTAGACTAATATGTAGATTAAAATGTATTTACTAAAATAATGGAATTGTGAGTAGCATTTTTCAATAATGTGACATTATAATACTTAATGTTATAATAAACTTGGGCTGTAGGAAATTTTTAAATATTTCTATGCAGTTTCTGAGTTAGATTTTCTATATAGGGGAGCAGAATGTAGAACTCACCTTAATAGAAAAAATCATGTCGTAGGTATTTTTATGCAAGGTGTTTTACACGTTACTACTGTTAATCTGTAAACTGATTATTTCGTTTTCAGATATGCTTAAGAATGAAGACAGCCCAGAGTACACTAGAAGGCTTTTCTGAACCAAACTCAGACAGCCGCGTTTGGAAGCACTGGTTTCCTTAATTCCCATTCCACTGTTACCTACTGCTGACCTTGTTCAGTCTCCCTCCATAATGCAAGTCTTTATTTCTTGTGTTTTTCACAAAAAATTGTTTTACCTTCAGTGTCATCTGTGATGTGATTTACTGTTTCAGTAGTTGTTGACATTCAGGGATGTGGTCATCAGCTTCTCTCAGGAGCAATGGGACTATCCGGACCCTGCTCAGAAGGACTTATACTGGGATGTGATGATGGAGAACTACAGCAACTTGGTCTCACTGGGTAAACTGAATCCTGACAAAATTTAGAATTTGCTGTCTAGAATATGCTGATGCTCAAGTCATTGCTGTTACTTGATGTTAATAATTGAACTCAAGGCTATCTTCTGTAAACCAGATAAATCTACTTGTTTCCAAAGGACAGGTTGAACTTTGTGCTGCTGGTGACACCTTCATCATTCTTTTTGATGTTTTGTCCCTTCATATAATTTATCTTTTTAAAAAATATATTTATTCACTTATTTATGCATACAGAACTGGGATACAGGCCAGAGGTGAAGGGGTGGTGAGAGGATTCACCAGAGACAGTGGTGACTGTACCATGTGGGTCACCGCGGCCAGCTTGCAGTGTTGTGTCCTAACCTGCTGCACCACCAGGGAGGGCCTTAATTTATATATTTTTTTTAAAAAAAGATTTATTTATGATAAAAGAACTGGAGTACAGACCAGAGGTGTGGGGCTGAGAGGATTCACCAGAGGCAGAGCGGGGCATAGAACAGGCAGATGTACTGAAACACCCTGCTGAGGGGAGCAGTGGCGGGACAGGAGAGGTCTGCTGTGCCATGTGGGTCAGCTCTGGGACGGGATTGAACTCGCACTGCAGGGGCTGCAGCTGGCTTGCAGTGCTGCGTTTTAACCCATTGCAGCACTAGGGAGGGCCAGGATTGTAACTTAAACTTGAACAAGGAAAAAAAGTAAGTGGCACAGGAGGACCCATGTGTGAGAGATGAAACATTCTGTGGGTTGCTCTTAATGACAGGAACTGTATTTTTATTTAGGAGGAGACAAACAGATTAGGTAAAAGAGGTTAATGGGTTAAAATAAGGTCTTAAAGCAGCATCTGTTTATTCATAGTGACAAGTTGGGTTATTAGTTTTAGAGAGAGAAAACTGTCTGCAGTATGGGTTATAACATTTTGATTTGCATTGGCAGTATCATGTGATAACCAGTTCCACATTTATAGATATCTTACACTTCTAAATACCAGTATTTTCAGACAAACTTACTAGATGGTAACAAGTAAATTTGAGGCCCACTGAATCTTTTTCTTAATATATGTTGTATTCTTATATTATGCACTTACATTTTCTGAACTTCTGACCTTTCTTCAAGCTTCGTAACAGAATTTTAATCATTTACGTACATTGTGAATTATTTTCAGATTTGTCTCCTTTACATTCTCTACCTATTATTTTTGTGCCACCAGAAAGAAATTTGTTTTTTACTTTTTCAGATTTGGAATCCAAGAATTTATCTATAGGAAAGGACATTCTTGAATCAGTGGTTCCCAGTGTGAGAAAGTAGAAGAAAGTACTGCTTTCACTGGTCTTGAGAGCGCCATTTGCAGACATGACTGGCACAGCACAAATGACATTGAAGTCCGAGGATCTGCAATGGCATATTTCTGTCTAATGAAAACCATCTCACAAAGAAAACCCAATTACAAAAATCATATATCTCTTATACTGCACCAGAGAAATCATGATAGCAAGAAGCGTAAATATAAGGAATATAGTAAGGTCCTTAACTGTGACTTAAACTTTAATGAATAGAAGAGAATATATAGTGGCGAGAAATTCTATAAATGTAATGGATGTTGGAAACCTTTGGAGCAGATGGCCCACTAACCTGCAACTGAATATTCATACTGATGTGAAGCCCTGTCTGTATATGCAATATGGAAATACATTTAGCTTTTATGAACACCTTAGAACACACCATAAAATTCATGGTGATCGGAAGTAATATAAATATAAGGAGAACAAAAGGAGCTTTAGGAGAGTTGAAGAAACTACTCCCCTTGAAAGGATTCCCAGTGGCGAGAAACCTTATGAATACACTTTCTGTGGGGAGTTCTTTAGAGTTCATGCAGAACTTAATGAACATCAGAAAATCCATACTGACAAGAAACCTTACAAATATATGGAATGTGCAAAGGATTTTTTATTTCATTCACAGCTAACTGAATGAGAAACCATACAAGTGTCTACAGTGTGAGAAGGTCTTTAGAATTAGTTCACAGCTTATTGAACATCAGAGAATTCATACTGGTGAGAAACCTTACGAATGTAAAGAGCGTGGAAAGGCTTTCGGAGTATGTAGAGAACTTGCCCAGCATCAGCGACTTCATATTGGTAAGAAGCTTTACGACTGCAAGGTGTGTGGAAAGGTCTTTAGAAATAGTTCATCCCTGACCAGACACCAGAGAATTCATACTGGTGAAAAACGCTACGAATGTAAAGATTGTGGGAAAGCATTTGGAGTAGGGAGTGAACTTACTTGACATCAGAGAATTCACAGTGGTCAGAAACCTTATGAATGTAAAGTGTGTGGAAAGTTCTTTAGGCTTACTTCAGCCCTTAGTCAACATCAGGAAATTCATAGTGGTGAGAAACCCTATGAATGCAAGGTATGTGGGAAGGCCTTTAGACACAGTTCAGCCCTCACAGAACATCAGAGAATTCATACGGGAGAGAAACCTTGTGAATGTAAGTCATGCAGGAAAGCCTTTAGACACAGTTCGGCCTTTACAAAACACCAGAGGATCCATACAGGTAAGAAATCCTATCAGTGTAAGGAATGTGATAATAATGCCTTTACTTAGTATCAGAAATGTAATAAGAATGCCTTTACTTAGTATCTACACTGGGGAGAAGTCTTTGGAACAAAAGGTGAATAGAAAGGCCTCTTGTTTCTGGGTTTATGTGGAAAGAAAACCTGTGTATTTAATAAGATATAAGCAGGGAACTCAGTACTGTGCTCATGAAGTCTGTTACTAGACTGTGCAGCCGGTGGGGCAGGAGAATTGCCCCACCAGAGGTGACACACTTTCTGCACTTTAGATATTGCCAACTATTTTTTATATTAACATTCTTAAGCATTTATGTAAGATACCTATCAATGCATTTCTGAAATGCACGGGAAATGTATTTCCCTAATTATTACTTTTTATTTTCACAAGACATTCTACCCAGCATCATTTGCTTAAACTTACTTTGATGTTCTTTTGCCTATTTTTGTCTTGTTCTTTTGTTTTGTTTTGGCTTGCTGATTTAAAATATTACTACATCTTTCCCACTCTAATTTCTTGTTACAAATGTAATAAAACTTACCTTCTTTCAGGGAGTTAGAACTCCTAGGTAGGTACTGTGACTTTAAAGTCTCCAGCTGTCCACCAGCATTTGAAGATCTACTTGTTTCATTTACTATTGTTGTTTCTGTGGTAGCTATGAAAGTCCTTTTCCATTGTCATTGAAAGTTTTACTTTTTTTTATATGTATATTTTGTTTTGACATGACAGGCTTCCCTAAATACCTATTACAACACAATTCCCTTAATGAATTTTTCCACCGCTGGGCACTAACACCCTAGGATGGAGTGACCCAAATGGATGGAGCACTTTTAAACATTTGATAAAAAGGGTTAATATAGTTTATCAGTCTCTTAATTTGTTAAGCACATTTACAAAAAGGAACAAATCTATAGCTGTTATAATGATTACAAATGAATCACTGAGCTTATGATAAAAATTTTTATTATATCAGCATGGCTTCAACAGGGATTGTTTGTTTAAATCTATTTTTATTGCAGTTTTTCTCTCTACTCTGAGTGTTAACTTACTGGGAGTTAACTGGCAGTTGAATATTCAGTAAACCTTTGATTTTAGTAATCTTACTCCCAAACTAAGAAATGAGACAGTCACAGAGATGATATTGTAAACCTTGCTTATTTATCATCACATTTTTAGTCAGGACAATTCTCCTGGTTATGCATTAAATATGATCAAAACCACTGGTTATTAGAATTTTTAAAGAAAATGTACATATTACCTTAGCTACGTACTATGTTATACTTATGTAGGATTTTAACTGCTGAAATTGGTCTTTCCCAGAAGCTTGACATTAGCAGCAGTAATGAAGCCATTTTTCTCACTGGGTAAGTTAAGCTATGTTTTATTTAAATATTCCTTATTAGTGTTTTATTTAACTTAGCAGTTTCTTAAAACATGTTACTGACAAATAGTTCACATCTTATAGCAAGATAATAAGTCCTGTTTTTACCCTTTTAATGAGGATTTTGCTCATATTAATTTTCTCTGAACTTTGTCCTAAACTGTCATTTTATATACTGTTATTCAAATAAACCATAATTATATTATTAACTCTTATAACATGTTGCTTAATTAAAGGAATACAAATGTGTCGTGAAGACAATTTCATTGTTGTGAGAATGTCACAAGAGTGTTCTCACACAAACCTACAACATATATAGCCTGCTTCACTCCTAAGCCATATGATACAACCTATCCAATAGCCCAGAACACAAGCCTATTCTAAGTGCCATAGATAACTGTAACACATTGTTATTTGTGCAGTAAACATCCAGATATTTTAAAAGGCACAACAAGAATACAACATAAAAGATTAGAAATAGAGTTCTTTCCTGGTGGCCTAGGGGTTAAGTCTCAGGCTATTACTGAGTGTATGACCTGAGTCCAATCCCTGGCCAGGGAGCTGACGTGCGTGGCACAGCAGATCTCTCCTGCCTTGCCCACTGCTCCCCTCAGTAGTACATTTCAGATTTGGGAGACTGTTCTGCCCCCAGTCTGTCTCTGGTGAATCCCCTCACCCCCTGTACCTCTGGCTTAAACCCCAGCTCTATGCAAATGAAATAAAATAAAATCCTAAAAGAAAATAAAAATATTACAAATAGAACACTGACCAGGAATGGCATGTGTTCTTTTGAGTTAGAGAGTGAATGGTGAGTGAAAGGGAAGGTCTAGAATATTACACTACTCGAGACTTTATAAACACTGTACATTTAAGCTACTCTAAATTTGTTTTAGAAAAAATACATTTCTCCAGTATTCAACTAACCTTAATTTAATGTATATAAACTTTTTGGTTAGCTCTTGACTCCTGTGTAGTGATTCTTAGCTCCTAACATAAACATACTGTATAGATACATAAGAATATATATATATATTTCAAATATTTTAAAAAAGTATATTTATGCATACAGAACTGGGGTAGAGGCCCCTGGTTCTATGTAATGGTAGAGAATTCTAACTGATAAATGTAAAAGGAATGAAGGAAAGCAGGAAATCACCAACATAACAGCCATAATTATATACAAAATCCACTGATAGATGCTAAAATCTGATGGCAAAAGGTGGAAGAAAACAGGATATCAGAATTGTACCACTGTATGTCTACCAAAGATTTCGTTTCAAAGAAGAAACACTGCATATGTCACCTTAGCCAAATACTAACTGACAACATATACCACCCAAAGCGATATACCAGGAGGGCCCATCCCTGGGGTAGTAGCCTCACCAGGAAAAAACACACGGTTATATTTTGTTTTTAAAGATTTATTTATTTATGCATACAGAACTGGGGTACAGGCCAGAGGTGAGGGGAGTGAGAGGATTCACCAGAGTGGGGAGCAGAACAGGCAGATCTACTGAAGTACACTGCTGAGGGGAGGGTCAGAGCGGGCGGGTCAGTAGAGGTCTGCTGCTGCAGGGGGGTCACGCCCCTGGTCAGGAACTGAACTTGGGTTGCAGTGGCTGCCATAGTTTCATAGTGCTGCACTTTAACCCATTGTGCCATCAGGGAGGGCCTGGTTATGTCTTTTTTTAATAGCTAGGAAAAACTGCAGCAAACCCCAAAGAAGGTGCTTCTATAAATGTACCCAATACTCCAAAAGTCACATTACCTCTTGAGTTATGAAAGGCAAGGGAAGATTGAGAAAAGGAACGATAGATAGAGGACTAAGGAAACTTAACACAACACTCAATTCTGTATTGAATCTTTGGAACATTACTGAAGAAAGTTTGATGAAATCTAAAGTTGAGGTCCTGGTTTCAGTCATCGCACTATGCTTCTGTAAGATGTCAATAGAACACAAATAGCCTACATAAAAATCAATCGCATTTCTCTCTATCACTGCAGTCTGTGAAAATGAAAACTTCCTAAAAGCCTGCCATTTAACTGGCCAGCAACCTCGGGGCTGTCCCTGTGGCCCACCAGGCTCCCTCCTCACTGGCCCTATATCCCACCCCTCTAGCCATGTGTTTGGATCCTTGGCAGCAGGCCCTAACTTTGGGTGCCTAAGGGCTTTCCAGAATCACCCGGTTGACAAGTGGCAACCAAACACCACTGGGCCCCCGCGACTCAATTTCACAAGCGCCCTCTCACTCAGTCCGTTCAGAACAGACTCAGTCTCCATCCCCACCTCACATTCTGGACTTTCCAGCTGGGTCTCCCCGCAGGAAGTCAGTAGGTAGCGACCCAGCTAAACTGCCCGGTGAGCAGCACTGCGGTGCGGACAGCAAACATCAGGAACGTCATCCTCCCCGTGAGCCCCGGCGCACGCGGCGCCTTCTGGGAAATGTAGTTCAGCGCCACGGACAAGATGGCGGCCAGCTGGAGCCGGGCCAGCGGTCCCTCGGTTCCATCTCCCTGTCTCGAACCGCGCCTCGCAGTCTTCTCGAGCGCCTGGCAGCTTCGCACCGTCGCCCTACTTGGAGTCAGCGCTGGGTGCTTTGGTGGGAAAAGGTGACTCGAGCTACTGAAACTCTGGGAAATGTCTATGGTCATAAAAGACAAGGGCCAGCCATCAGCGGCCGATCCCGGGGGTCCCTGAGTCCAGCTTGGCGGAGCCCAGGAGGCCTCTGGGAGTGCGCGCCCGACGGAGGAGTGCGCAGGCGCACACGCCCTGGCTCGCCATCGTCCTCTTTGTCTGCTGGTGAGTTTGGTTTTTGCTCCGCGAACCGCGGATCTGGGTGTGGGACCTTGGTTTTGGGGTTCAGAACCCGGGCAGGAAGGCTGAATGGGAGGATTGGTGGCGCTCGCGAGGGGACCCGGGAGATGAAAGAGGAGGAATCGCCTCCTGTGGCGTTCAGTGTTCGGGGCTTTATATGGATGGGGGCGGGGGTGCGGGAGAAAACTGGGGCGACCTAGCGGCTCTTCTAAGAGGGTGTGAGAGGGTTGTGCAGTCTCTACCTATGTGCGGAACTGTGGTTCACCTTTGTGGCCGTGAGTAGATAGCATTGTGAGGTTTTGGGGGTAGTAACCGCGAAGTCTCGTGTTTCTCATTTCTGAAATAACAAAGATATATTTTTGTGGAACAGGCGTTCCTCTGAAAGATAAAAAAGGCATAGGCTAAGGAATTGGGCAGTATGCGATTTTAAAAGCGATTTTTATATAAACTGGACTGATGGTGAAGTCGGAGAAGACATTGGTAATTGTTTTAAGAGGCAGTATTTCTGGAAAACTTGTTGGATGTGCTGACTCCCGACTTGAGTTTTCTTAATTCTTTGGAGGAACTTTGGTTGGACTGCTTTGAAGAGCCCTGGACTAAGAAATAGCATTAAGAGGTAGTTTCCACTAGTGCAGACAGCGGAGAATTAAGCAATTTGTCCTGCACAGAGATCAAGTTGGCAATTTAAGATTCCCTAGCTTGTCAGTGAGTTTTGTAATCTGACTCCTGGTGACAAAGATTAAATGGCGTTTCCGAATGTAGTGAAACACGTCTACCTGTAAAAACGTTCACGTTTTAATCCCAGTTAACTAGAATGAAAAAGTCAGCGATATCTAGTTATGTTTTCATTTTCAGGAGGACAATTTCATAAAAGGTGGTATTTATTTACAGCGGCCAGATAGAATTCCTGGGGGTAAACACATCTTTAAAGCTATATGAAGGTTTTTTAAAAATGTTATTTTTGGTTATTAAGATTTATTTTATTTATGCATACATCAACTGTGGAGTACACAGGCCAGGGGTGGGGAGAGGGTGTGAGAGAATTCAGTGGAGACAGAAT